CCAGGTGAACTGGACCTCTCATCCTACTCACTGACCTGCTCTTTGGTTGTTGTGGTTCTGAGAATGAGATGCCAAAGCACACTGAAACAAAGTGCATGGTGCTCAGCGCCTCAGGCTCACCAAGGACAGAAATACCAGCTCCTAAGCATCAGAACCTTTGATACAAAATGCTGTGGATGATGTGTACACCGAGCTCAGACCACAAATCTCTGTCCAGGAATGGGTACAGCTGCCCACAGAGACATCCTAGGGAGTGAAAATCAACTGAAGATGGGAAACAACAACCCAGGTGAGTGATATGGGCTGAACTAAGTTCATACTTCCTGGTGCTATCAAGGCAGTCTAAGCCACAGGACAGCTCCCAAAAAGCAGCATCTGTGGCCTGAGGAACTGAGGATGTATAAACACTGTCTGCAAGGCACCAGTTCACTTACTTCCCTTCTCCTGGTGGGAAGGAGAGGTAGGTAAAAAAACAGAAGTAATGAAAGAAATGGGTCATTTTGGAATGACTGCACCAAACCAGTCCAATGCAATTCCGTAACACAAAAGCAGCAAACACATGGTCTACAGCTCTGACTCTCCAATTTTAGCAAATCACTAGACCTGCTACACCAAAAGCAGACACATAGAAATATCTCTCCTCAACAAAAAGAAATGTTTGCAGAGGCAAGTAGCATGGCAAACAGCACAACCTTTAGCAAAACAGTCAGGCTGATTCATGAACTAATGTTAGGCAATGTCAAACTAGCAACAAAGACAAACCCATCTTTGGATTTGGATCCTGATGGATATACAACTTTATCTCTTCTGTGTTCCTCTCAGAAGTCTAGACAGTTAGACTAAGCAGTGGTGCTACTTGCATTTAATGAGAATTAAATGTTAATCTTGACAACTAGAAGCAAAAAATTTGACCTTAGAGATGCAATTATTTCCCATTCCTGTAACATTTGGTCTATTTTGGTTTGAAACTTCTTGTAATTCAGTAGCACATTCACTGTACCACGTAGATCAGTGTTAACCATGGAAGTGTGAGCAATGTTACCCAATTCTGAACTCCTGGTGACTCCAGCTCATGGGCTGACCCACAATTATCTGTTATTCTTGAAGCAGTGGGGCTGTACACAGCCATGTAAATTACAAGACACAGTTTTTTATGTTGTCTTCTAAGAATATGTATTGCAAGTATTTGTCTACCCACATTCTTAAATTCCTGGGGTTTCATATGTAAAAAAACACCACAAAATCTACCCAAGATAAAATGCGAGTTTGTGTCACATTCCTGCAGGACCCTTAATTTGTGCTCAGTTACATCTACATTCTCCCCTTTGCTATTTGTTGTGTGTTTGAATCCTCTTTCTCTTTCCATTTATAATTATGTGGCTTTTTAATAAACTCATTAAATAAACAATCAATTTCAGCCCTCAGAATTTGCCACTGGTATCTCTGCAGCTTAGTACTAAACCTCCAGCTAAAAATGAAAGACAAAACAACACATAACAGGGTCTGAGACATGCTGCACATTGCCTGCTGTGTATGGGGAGACCACAGCCTGGAAATCCACTTACTCAGTGTAAAACCAGTTCGGTTATATTGACTTTTCTTTCCCTCATGGTATATTAGTCCTCACGAAAAATCTTGCAGTGAAAGCCCTAGAGAAGAAATCTTTTGTCCACAGACAAATGCACTTCCCATTTTCTGCTTTATTACCACAGGCAAAAGAGCAAACCTGTTGTTCTTACTTTTACAATAATCACAAGGCCAGACACCCAGCTAAGGCGTAAATACCACGTGGACTTTGTCATGGATGCTTCCTCAAGTCTTAATTCAAGTTCTATCTCTACTCATTTGTCCTCTCTTTCTCCACTAAACCTAGGAACAATTATGATTAGCCCACTGAAAATCTGACTGCAATCCTAACATTCAGCTCCTACAAACTACCAAATGACCCATTCAATCACCTTCAGATCATTGCTACATTTGAATTTCCCAAAGCCAAATCTTTCTTTCTGCTTTTTTTTTTTACTATTATTATTTTTATTTTTTCCCCTCTCTTCTTTTTCCCTTTCCTTTCTCTTTCCTTTCCACAATCATTCACCAGGCCAAAAAAATATTCAAGAGACAAATGATGGCATCTGCAAAAAGCTCAACTCCATGGAAAGAAACAACAGGCCAGGATCAGAGAGGCTGTTACATGTCAACATAGTGAATAACCAGAGTCAAATTCTCAGCTGGTGTAAATCAACCTATCTCCATCTGGTTTTATGAGGGCAGTGCAACTTGATATTAAACACAGAGTTGAAGAACCTGATTCATGTTAAATTACAGCATCCAAAAACCCAGTGAGTATTGACCCTATCTGACACCTACTTCAATTGATGGCCAAACTCTCACCTCCCCAGGCAGGGAACAGCCAAGAGCACACAGAATGCAAGGCAGAATGGGCCCTTAATACATCTCAAATTTAAAGTTTCCTACCCTTATAAAATCACAGCTATACCTAGCTTGTACAAATCCAAACCCATAGCTTCAGGGCATCCTTCAGTGGCCTAGGTTTGGTGTTTAAATTACACATACTATTTTGAACTACAAATATCTGCTCCATCAGCTCTGCTGATGTTCTGAGGGAGCTAAACTGAGTGCCAGAGAGTTTCTGTGATGGCACACACAGCCACTGGCACCCAGGAGAGAAACACGGATTCACATCAGGAGTCCAACAGCTTCTGATAGTCAGAGGTTAAAGATCCGACTTTTTTCATTACCTAGATCAGTAAGAGATGAGATTTTGGCCAAAAATGTCTTCGTAGAACCAAAGAATGGTTTGGGCTGGAAGGAACCTCAAAGATCATCTTGTTCCAGCTGCCATGAGCAGGGACACCTTCCACTAGAGCTTCCATCCAGACTGGCCTTGTCTTCTTGCACATTCATTATATATTGACTTTTGGGCTGACTTTACAAATGGTTGATTGCAACTGCTTCAGCACGGAAACACAAGAGATTCAATCTCCATCTCCCCACCCTTCCAAGAACAGGTGAACTTTTGAAGAATGAGCACCCTCCTGCCAAAATACATCCCAGTCTCTAACCTACCACCTTAAGAAAGGTGAGACAGACATGTCTTTGGGCACAAATGGAAAAAAAAAAAAAAAAAAAGATGAACCATGTGTCTGATGAAGCATTCTAGGTGTCATCTCCAGACTGTTGTTTTCTCTGGCAGCCTCTACTCACTGCCTTTTTTTGTTACTGTTTTCCCAGATTGCATATGCTTGTTTGTCTGTCCCTCTAGTACTGAGGGCAGCATGCAAAGCCCCTTTCAAAAAAATCAAGCACCAACTAAAAACAAAGAAAGAAACAAAAACTAAAAGCCTCATAAAAATGGGTATTCAGCAAGCTGATGGAAACACTTCTGCATGAGAAACACCATCCCTTTAGCTCAACATCAGCTGCCAGAACTGCTGCACTTCCTCAAACACTGACTTTCTGCCTGGCTCACAGGTGAGCCCAGAAAGGGATGCTAATGGTTCACTTGGTCAAGGTACACAGAAAAGGAGCTGCCAGCTACGTCCCCTGCTTCATTCAGAAAGCTCTGGAAATCTTTTCAGTTGTCCAAGTTTGCAAGGGCTCTGGGATTATGGCCCTTCCGTGGACAGGAATGTTTCTTTCCTACGGCTTGGCCTTTAATAATGCTAAAGGGCAAAAGGTTTTGCCTGACACACACCAGACCCCAGAGAGACTAATTACTCAGCCAGTCTCTTCTCCTTTACCCTCTCCTCTTGAACATCTGCAAAGAGTCTTTAAATTTGACCTGCAAATGATAATAGTTTTCCTTTGCAGCACTGGATTGTTCCTCTTCAGGGTTTCTGCATGCACTTTCCATTTATGAAATGCTGACTCCCATAATGGTCAATAAAGGGCAGGATAATAGTATGACAAACTTATGTTCCCAGCCATGCCCAGAATTCTAATTGAATTAGAAAGACAGCCTGTGTTCATAAAAACAACACTAACGAGCAAATGGAGCTTTACTGTGCTACGTAACAGATATCACATATCCTTGGGTTGCTGTCAATTCTTTATGTAAATACTTTAAATCCCTCAGACTTCGTTTTGCATACTATATAGTGAGTCTCTTCATAATCAAATAGTATTTAAAACATTTACTGCCTTGTTAAATCTAACAAGTTAGATTTACTGGGATAGTCACTTTCCCTAATAGCCAATTTAGTAAAACTCAATGTACTCATTGATGGATAAATATATAATAGGCGGTTGTTAAACTTTAATAAATATGTTTAATAGTCAGCTGGCATTTTCTCTCAATGGCAGCACTTCCTCTCAGCTGCCAACAGGAAATGCTTCTCCTGAATGTGCCAATTCAGCCCACATGTAGGGAATAAATTGATCTAGAAGAGCAAACAGGAGCATGAATTTCAGGTAGTTTTCCTATGCTGCTTGTCACAAGAAGAGCAATAACCTGAGGTCCTGAGCTCCTACCAAGACAGTCAGGTGTTGAAAAACACACAGTATAAGGAAGAACATGAGCTACAGTGTTTGTCTAGACTTCATACAAGCAATGGACCAGGACAGGAAAGGCAGCTGGCTATCCGAAAGCCATATAAATGATACTCATGTAGCATTACTGCAATTTACAGTTTTACTGCACTCCTTGTCTCATGTAGATGTCACCCCACCCTGCCAGTCTGTGTCAACACAACGCCTTGGCTTCTAGCTAAATCTAAAAAGTATACTCTTCTAGGGCTGTTGGGTTCCTAAGAAAAGATTTTTGACAAGTCCACATCATTAAGACGACTAAAAGTGTTTAAAAATCAGGCTTTTAACTCAAACTGCAGATTGTTATAGCTAAACCCTGCAGGTTCCAGGACCAGCTCTCCCAAATGAAGGAAGCTGTTGTGTGTAAATAAGAAAAACAGACCAAAATATCATCAAAAGAGACTGTGATTGTATGCTGGATTGGGAAACAATTATAGCCACAAAATACTCACCTGGGTGGGATTATACAGTTCCTGGAGTGGGCTTCTGGATCCTTTCCGACAGCAGATGTCCATCCCAAATGGATTTCTACGCATTACTGCAAGGAGAAATTGAAATTAGTACAGGTTAGCAACACTGGTTAGCAGAAAGCAATTGCAATACCTACAGCAAGAAAAGATTTTCTGACAGATCATAGGATTCTAGACAGTGTTGTCACTTGACTCCTGATTTTCCTTTCCCTAGCAATTGTCCAAGAGCTGAATCTTCTACCTATGGTGGAAGTTACTGAAAATAAAAGCTCTCTTATAAAAGTTGTTAGGCAACAACTCTCAGTTTGGGTGCCCAAAAATTCAAGCATGGACCAAAGCAACACAATTTTCAGCAGTGCCAGACACCTCTCTGATCATCAGGAAGGATTGAGATGGATTCCTACAACCAGCACCTCTGAGGGGCAATGCTTGAGCCTCTCTCAGCCTAAATACAGACATATGTAGGAGCCTCATATTAAAACGCATGATTTTAAAGCTTTTGGCCTAACTCTTCTGTTTCTCCCAGAACAGATACTCATCAGTACACAACACACATACAATCAAACACGGCCACCCTTCTTGCCACAATTTTGCTCTACACATTTCAAGTGGAAATTTGACTGATCCACAGAACAACATGCATTGTGTTATACTAGCAAACATTAGCTGGTTTGCAAACCAAAGGCTTTGTCAAAGTTCTGATCAAGGAGCATTTTGGATGGCAAATTTTTCTTTGTTGACCTAAGCCCCATCAGGGATGGAGAGCATGAGCTTCAAGTCAGAGCTTTGTGGCCATAAAAGTCTGTAAGAAGACATTCAGCTCCAACCACCTTCTACAGTCAGGAGGAAAACAAGAGCTTGCTGTGCTTCTAATCTCACATGGCCCACGTCATCCTCTGCCAACACTCTTCTGCCCCCAGCTCACCCTGGGAACTCCGGAAGGAGCATCAGGCTGTCAGACGCCCACATTGGGCACCGCAGTGGGGGAAGATTGTCTCATCAACCTTTGATTAAGACAAAACCAAAAAAAAAATGGGAAAAAGAAATGTTCTTGCTGGGAGCATCATGTTAAGCTGAGTCAGGCATGCTTTTACCACTTATTGCCACGTTTTGTAACCAGAAACTACTGAAGCGTCCTACAACAATGAGCTGCACCACTTGCAGACATGATATTGTGGGCTTCAAGCCAAGTCAGAGAATACAGTCCAGTAATGTTTTAACACTGAGGCCCAATATACAATCATAATTGATACATCAAGAAATATAAACCACAGAAAACTGTGCACTGTCCAATCTGGAAACATAATTGATTTCTTCACTCACTTCCTATCTATTTTTCAATAGGAGGTAATTATCTAATAACATGCTGGCTTGCTTTTTCCCTAAGCAACAGATTCCTCGGGTCTTGTGGCAGGAGGCAGACATACTGAGTAAACAAACTGGCTTCAATTTTCTTCACAATTAAGACACCAATGTTAGTAGAGGCAGTAATTTTATTTGACACATTTAAACACCTGATTAAATTCTGAGCATTTTTAGTCACGCAGACAAGTATTGTGATTCCTCTATTTCTGAGCTCATGTGGCCTTTTAAAAAATTACATGTGTTTTAAAAAGTTAAAACTTTAAAAATATTTTACAGTAATTTTCCAGAGCCTGGAAGTGGTTTTAGGAAGAAAATATTCAAGTGAGGATGTGAGATATCCAGCAGCCATTCTAACTACAGAGCTCCTGTCCACCTCATCCCACTCCAAGCTCTTGTACCAGAACTGTGTCCAGAGAAAGTTTCAAAATTATTTTGTAGCCCCTTCTTCAATGAAGAAACCTTTCTAAAACGAAGCCTTCTACTCAAGGGCAAAGCACATTAAAACACCTCAGCAGGGGGAAAGGGAGAGGGGAACATTTCAGTGTATCCAGCTCATTAGACTGATTAACTAAGGTCCTGCAACACTGATGCTTTGTTCTAAAATGAAGAAGAATAACAATTCTAGTATGGTGTTCCCTAACTTGTTATTTCACTTTTCACTTCCATTAAATACAGTAAATAGTACCGTGCATAAATGTATCCATCCCTTCCTGCTTCACTTAGCCAGCAAGTATCAACACTTTATATGCAGCAGCAACAGCAATAAAGATTAAATTATTTACACAACATGAAAGATTTGTTTCCAGATGTAAATAGACAATAAAAAAAGCTATCTCTCCAGCAAAAGCTAAATACTAATGTAGGGCTTTAATCATAGAGGTGTTTCAACCTATTTTATAATTTCCAGTATTACTTAATTGGTTTGGTTTTTTCAGTGAAGCCTTTAGAATCAGACTGTGGGGTTAGCACAGCAACACTGCACTTGGTTCCCTGTTTACTGATGTCAGGAACAGTACTCCCTGATACAACTGTACACAGCACATCTGTGCACACCTGGGAAGTACTTGTGCCTGGGATTTAACTGCAGCATCAATATAAAGGTGAATACTCCCCTCTCCTCAGCAGAAATCCCACCTGCACAACCATCCTTACGTGAATAGCTATCAGGCATGTTTTTACACAGTTCAAAACACTTTTTGGCGTGTCTATGGGCAAATTCACCTCTCAGGGCCCCTGCAACCTGTTTTCTACAGTCTCAGCTTCTCTGAGGCAGTGCTTCATTATGCCAATGACAAAACCTCTTGGGCCTGAACCTCACCTCTAGCAATCTGCAGTATGCAGGGTAACTACAGCTCTACTAATTTTAACAACACTTTTGCTAAGGATCCGTCACACCGTTGTGGAAGTGAAAATTAAAAAATCAAGCCCTTTATCCTCACCAAATCTTCTGATTAGCATAGTAAATATCTAAATCTACATTTTATGGCTTGGGCTGATCTCCATACATAATTACAGTTAATTATAATCTAATGATAAGTAGTGCATATGCATGGCTTCAAGAATCATTCAAAAGATCACATTCTCACACACAAAGAACGTGAAGCAGCTGACAAAGAAATTTAGAATTGTCTAGGTTGTAAAAGACCTTTCAGATCAGCAGCATTCAGTGCCTTTAATGATTCAAGAGTAGTGCAAATACTACAAGTGCAGCAAGAACATGAATCCCCTGAATTTAGCCGGGAGTGTGAGCAACTGGATGAACTGTGAGTTTGTTACTTAAATACAAGAGCTGTAAAAACAAGACCTTTGTTCCATCCCCACGTGGGGAATGATTTATCAAAAATGCAGTCTTGGCCCACCTTGCAAAAGTGTGGAACCACTAGCTGTGAATCTAATAAGGAAGTCTGTAGAGGATGCTATCTAGGCACCAAATTTCAATTTCTCAAAAGAGGAAGATAAACAGCCCTACTTATCAACACAACAATCAGCTGTGTATGCATACATAGAGAGGAATGTGTAGGCTTTAAATCATCTCAGAATGAAATCATCTGTGCAGTTTCAACTTCCAGAAAACTCCATTTAGACCCACCAGCACCAAGAGCAGGAATTCGACCTGAGAATTACAGTGCACTGAGCACAAGAACATTGATCATCATTCACATGGAAACATGCGAGCCAGGCTTAATCTGGCACCTCTCCTTGGCAGAAGGCATTTCCAATGCACTTGGTAACCTTCAAAGACCTTATCCCAGAATGAGAGACCTCTGGAGAGAATACTGAATATAAGCCACATCAATACAATTTCTGCCTCTCCCTACCAGGAGCTACAAAAAACTGAGTCAGGGGACATGGTAGCACTTCTACTGGGAGATTACTGGCCTAAAATGTATGTGAACACTGGGACTACCTAGAGAAAGGGAAAGGGGGAAGGGCAGAAATCACGGGAACCAAGGTTTTTGGAGACTGAAAGCCATAAAGGTGACCTTCTCACAAAGTGTCAGAAGGGCAAATCAAACAACTTTTCACAGGTCTGTGTGGGATTAAGTCCCAGAGGAGACTCTGCTGGAAGAGACACACAAAATAAGTGCCACTTCTTCCTCAGCACTGAGAGAGACAAACAAGTGGCATTTCAAACATGGGTGCATGCATTCAGCAGCCATCTCTATCACTTCCACTCTACCATCTCACAGATGTCTGAGGCTCCAGTTCCAAGACTTCTGTATATTAAAAAGGTCCCCAGCTGCTATCTAGCAATTGCCTCCCTACTTGGTAACATTTAATTTACATTGCTTGGACTATTCTAATTACTGGCATGATAACAAAAGCCAAATGTAAAAAATTTACCTCTGTTCACTGCCTCTTAAATTAAATCTCATATTACAAATATTTGAGAAAAGTTCTGAGGACATATTAATATTTAACTTTTCATTACACTGGTCTAAAGTACAAAGAATAAAATTCCCTAATACAGCGTTGCTTAAAGCTGACATACATAATTCATTCCTCCTATTGGGATACAAGTTTTCATACTGAGGAGGAAAAAGTATGCACTGGCAGCAGTATGGTGAGACTCTGGTTGAGGATCAGATCCTGTTCTTTTTTTAAAGAAACTCATCCAATATATTCCTCTTTTTGCTTTGATTGCTCTTCATTTTTGATCTGATTCAGCATGAGAGGCTGAAAATGGTTGCTTCTTTTGCCTGAAGTCCACTGCTCTCCAGCTAATCCATTGCTCTCCTCCTGCCCAAGCACCCCTCATTTCAGGCCAGAGTTAATGCTTTCCATGAAGCACCTACTTGACAGCAAAGAGCAGGTACATAACACAGTAGCTTTTCCTTGAGCAGTAACCCACCAAGTAAGGGCTGACCTTTCACCTAAACATTCCCTACCCAACCTAGACAGAAAAATCCATGCCAATTGGTCAAGGCAAGATATCAGCACCTTGATACTTACACCTTTTCCATCTCTAGCCATGTCTACACCAGCTGCTGCCTTTAGACTTCCCAAATTTTCAAATCAAAGCAAAAATCAATAATTATACCCATACTGAAAGTTCAGAGATTCTCTTTAGCTGAAGACCTGGACATGTTTTTTCTTGCATAGATTTCTGCTACAACTCCAAAGCAGCAGAGAAAATCACTTCCATTTAGTATGTAGGATGAAGCATTGGAATACATACTTCAATACTACACCAAACACCTTA